CTTCTTCTCATTATTATTATGACTACCCTTACAACTATTATTCTCCTTCTTATTAGCATTATTATTCTCAGTAGTAGTATTACTAGTGTTCGTAGTATTATTAGTAGTATTATCATTCGTATTCTTATTAACACTAATAATATATATTTTCGCCGTCTGATTATTGATATTAGTATGATTAGTACTCTGTTTCTTCGTATTGTTCTTATCAATATTATTCGTATTACTCATATTATTATGCTTATTTTTTCGTAGTCTCCTTATTTTTCTTCGTGTTCTTATGATTCTTCTTATTATTCGTATTATTATTCGTCTTCTTCCTACTAATATTATTACTCTTCGTATTATTATGATTCGTCTTCTTAGTTTTAGTATTACTCTTAGTACGATTAAGATGATTATTCTTCGTATTCTTCTTATTATGATTATTCTTATTATGTTTCCTAGTATTATTAGTAGTATTCTTCTTTTTATTGTTATTATGATTCTGCGTCTTATTATTACTTTGAATCATATTAATATTCGTAATAGTATTATTGTGTTTAGTATTTCGACTCGTATTCTTATTAGTATTATAAATATTAGTATTACTATGATTACTGTCATTATTGTTATCCTTAGTATGATTAGTATTATCCGTCTTATTATTACTATTATGTTTATTCTTATTCGTCTTAGTAATACTATTAATATTAATATCAGTAGTTTAAGTCGTCTTATGGTTCTCATTTATAGTATTAGCATTATTACTATTCTTAGTATGATTAGTATGATGCGCTTTTTTCTTCTGAATATTATGTTTTTTATTGTTTGGGCTTCATATTTCTATTCTTCGTGTTATTATTATGTTTCTGCTTCTTATTAATATTCGTTTTATGTAGTACTCTTCTTTTTCGTATGTTTCATGTTTTTGTTCGTATGTTCTTATTTGTCTTCCTCCTCCTCCTCCTCCTCTTCCTCCCCCTCCTCCTCCTCCTCCTCCTCCTCCTCCTCTTCCCCCCCCTCCTCCTCCTCCTCCTCCTCTCCTCCCTCTCCTCCTCCTCCTCCTCCTCCTCATCCTCCTCCTCTTCCTCCTCCTCTCCTCCTCCTCTCCTCCTCCTCCTCCTCCTCCTCCTCCTCCTCCTCCTCCTCCCTCCTCCTCCTTCTCTTCCTCCTCCTCCTCCCCCCCTCCTCCTCCTCCTCCTCCTCCTCCTCCTGATCCTCATCTTCCTCCTCTTCCTCCTCCTCCCGAAGTAGACGGGTTGCAGACCTGGACGGTTTGGATGTTTTTTGGTCAGATAACAAGCGAGAGGCCGCCCAAACTTCGCGTTCTGCACGCGGGCGGGCTGCACGGTGTGCAAAGGAGTAATGCACGCGATCTCGCTCTGCACGAACGGCGGCGCCGAACTGCTGGAGCAGGTCATTGCCTGACCTCTGCATGCGCAACACCCACGCCCACAGGCACGCGCGGCAACGACACCAATCCGAAGTGTGGACGCTGTCTGGGATGCTGCCACGCACCTCAGGCCACAGGCCGTCGCAGCACTGCGTGCCGCTTCATATAAAGGACAGTCTCGGCGCGCCGGCTCGGGCGCACAACGCGCACGCGGTCGACGGCGGCCCGCTGCTCGACATCGTGGGAAGCTACGCCGCGCGACAGTTTCGAATGCTTATAGAGAGCATCGAAGCGCACTGCACTGAAGCGAGGAGGACCCTTGCTCTCGCCGGTGCACGCAGCACGGCTTTGCGGGGCCACGGACTGGCACGCGCCTGCGCCGTCGGTATTGCCAGGCACGAGAACCCAAGAGAGGATCTCGTCACACTCGGGCCCGCTGGGCGATGCGCCGCCCCCTCCAGCAGCACAGGTGCGCTGGGGCAGCTCGAAAAACATCGCGAACTGCCGCTGCCCCCGAGCACAGACGCACATAAATCGGTGATGCCATATCCGATATCGCCCATGAGGGTGCTCACCGCACGTCTTATCCGAGCAGTCCGACGGGCAAGGCACGCGGCAAGCGCGCATTGACGCCTCGTCGGCCTCGACAAGACACCCGCGGGGCCACTTGAACTCATCCTGCTCGGCCTGGGCAACGCGGGCGCTTATGGCCCACACTACCCTGGCGATGCGCTCAGCTGCCGTCCTACATATCCCTACCTCCTGCACCGCCAACTCGTCCGACGACTCGTAGCCCGAGGAGTGCTGGGTTGCTGCGTGGGCGACGGCGGGCGGTGTTCACTGAGCCCTGGTTGATGAACTCCTTCAGGAGGACCCTTCGGGTCGAGGTTGGACTCGCGCTTCTGGCACTCCCAGTTGGAACATGTCCACACGGGATAGTTTCCATTTTGGGAATGCTGAAGACCGCCACCTGAGTATCCTTGCTCGCCTGGCTGCTCCGAATCTGCAACTGCATTGTGCCGCGGTGGCACGCCGAGCACTCGCCCCCCAGGTCTGGTATCACACCAATCCCCTTCTGGAAAGCACATTCCCCAAGTGGTGCGAGGCCTGCACCCCTTCGGCGTC